GCAGTTTCCCTAGCCGGAAATTGAAGCACGGTGCGCTGTCTTTGGTCGCTATCGCTCGCCGTCCGCTATCGCTCGCCGTCCTCACGTTCTGAGGCCGTTTGCTCTGTTGCCCGGGGACGAGTGGGTCAAAGATGGAAGAGGGGTTCAGAGGGTAGAGGGCGGGCTCCCTTTAATACCAGGGTTCTGGGAGGCGGCTCGGCCTTCGAACTCTGGTTTGGGCGCGAGTCGTTTGTCTCCATAGATCTGGGACCCACTGCGGGCGACGGTCCTATCGCGGGATTCTGGGAGAGCGGGATATGGATGAAATTGAAAGCCGCGGGGTCTGCATTGGCTCAGAGTCACATACAAACTGGTCGCATCGGGGTTGGGCTGCGGAGCCGACCTGCTTACTGTTTCCTTGGGAATCACGAGATGGGTAGATGGGAGAGCCCTGCGTTGTGTGTCCGGAAGCTCTTTACCAAAGCCGGGTTGGAAATGGATACTGATTGTGAGCAAGGGAATCTGATCTTGGGACACGCATTTTTCCTAATAGTCTTCAGGCACAATCCATGATTGATTGCTTTAGAGACAGGATCCTGCTGTGTAGGACAGGCTGGCCTCGTACTCGCCCCATCTTCCTGCCTCAGACTCCCGAGAGTGGCATTACAAGCTACACCACCACGTCCTGTTTATTGTGGCTTAGTGGGCAGAATTTTCGGCGGTTTTTAGACCTTACTTATTTTTTGTCTTTTTTTTTTTTTTTTATAGAATCACATTTATTTCTTTTTTTTTTCTTTTTTTGATGTGGGTTAAATGGTAGATTATTTTTTGTCTTTTTGAGACAGGGTCTTGCAGTGCAGCTCAGGCTGGCCTTTAGCTCACTTTATAGTCTTGGCTGGCCTCGAACTCGGAGCCACCCTCCTGCCTCAACCCCTGAGTGCCGGCATTACACTTGCCGGGGAAGCGCTTATTCTACTGAGCCATCTCCTTGGCTCCCCACGTTGGGTTTTTTTCAGCAGCGATTTAGAAGATATGGATGGCTCAGAGAAAGGGTTATTTTGGACACTTAATAGTCGGAGGGTGCCCTTGGGGGAAGTGTGTTCCCAGTAAATTTTGCAGCCATTGGTATTTTGGTCTGACTTCCAGGCTGAGTTCCAGCAGATCCTTTCTTGATGGGAGTTGATTTTACAGAGACTGGCCCTAGCTGGGTGCCAGCTTGATCGGTGCCCGCGTGATAGCTGACAAGTTGCTGCTGAGCTCAGTGACTCAGGTTCCACTTTGGTGAAATAACGGTCCTTAATGCAGAAGGCGATAAAAGTATGGCATGTCTTCAAATTCTAAAAATGTGTTACAGGACTGGAGAGATGGCTCAGTAGAATAAGCGCTTCCCTGACAAGCGCAAGGGCCTGAGTTCAATTCCCGGTTCCGAAAAAAAAAAAAAAAGTACAGTAACCCTGCCTCTCCACTCCTGCCCCTCACTTGTAACACAGCCCATCATTCTTGCCACTTTTTTAAAAATTTATTTATTTATTTATTTATTTATTTATTTAGTGTGTGTGTGTGTGTGTGTGTGTGTGTGACCTGCTCAGCCCACCAGGGGGCGGGGCGGGCTGGCATGTGGTGCTGGGGGATTGAACCGCAGTCCCTGTGCTTTGCTAAGCTTGTTCTAAGTAGGTGCTTTAGACCACTGAGCCATCTCACAGCCCTTCTTGCCACTTTCTGCAGCAGTTCTGGACTCTAATTTCATGAGTGTTTTTACAAGATGTGATCAAGAATACAGTAACTGGGCTGGCCAGATAGCTCAGCTGATTACAGCGCCTGCTTAGGAAGACAGGGTTTGGGGCCCGGGACATGGCTCAGTGGAATAAGCGCTTCCCTGGCAAGCGCAAGGGTCTGAGTTCAATCCCCGGTTCCACTAAAAATTAAAAAAAAAAAAAAAAAAAGGAAGGCAGGGTTTGATCCCAGCCTGCTGTGCTGACCCTGGGGCGCGCTGAGACAGAGGTGGTGGCACGTGCCTATAATCCCAGCACGTGGGAGGCTGAAAAACAGGAGGATCACTACAAGTCTGATCTGTGTAGTGAGACCCTGTAGGCCCTGTACTAAGTACATTAAAAACAACAACAAAAAACAGTGACTGCTGCTGCTGAGTACCATCCAAGGCAGCTCAAAGAAACACGACGGTGTTTTCGTCCCCTCTGTCACAGTTACTTTTATCTCGTTGCTGGGACAAAATGCTGGAAACCCAAGTTAAGGAAGGAAAGACTTACTTAGCTCAGTTTGTGGACGTTTCAGGCCATACTCAGCTGGCTGCATGGCAGAGTGGCACACGGCCGAGGGCAGCTGTTCATGGCCGCAGAAGAGCGCAAGGTGCAAAGGGAGGAGCGGCGCTGGGCAGTGGGCAAGCCTCTCTGTGGCTACGCTGTATTCAGGCTGTCTGCCCTAAGGCGGGGATAGCCTCTCATACCCATAATCCCAGCATTGGATCGTGAACCCCAAACTCTAGAAGCGCCGCAGTGACTGCATGAGGCTTTGGGGGACCATTGGACACAAACCTAACACCCTTTATTCACTGGATTTGGTGCCATCTGACTTCCGCCTCTTTCCAAGTCAAAACAACTGCAAAAGGTCAGGGACTTTAATCCATCCAGGACACTAAGGCAGCCACAACAGCACAACTAAACGTGCTCGTGAGAAAGACCTTTCAGAGCTGCAGCAGAAAGTAGCGAAAACGATGGGATGTGTGTGTGAGACTAGAGGAAGGGTTTTGAGGAGGATTCACCGATACGTGTCTTTAAAGTGCAATAAAATTATTTAAAAAAATTTAAACATACACGGTGTCAGCTGGGCTCACTTAGCAACTACTGTGCCTGAGGGAAGTGCCGAGCTTGGGCCCAGCTCTTGCCGGTGTCTCCCAGCGCATGCTCAGGGCCGAGCAGAGCCGCGGCCCCAACCTTTCCTGAGGTCCAGACCTCAGAGGTACTGCAGTTACTGCAGTTACTCAGAGGTACTTCTGACCCCTACAGCTTACACAGCCCGCTTGTGCCAACTGTGAGGGTCCCCTCTGAGGCCGAGCTCGGCCTTGGGCCTCAGCAAGCCTCATCCGGGTATTTGGATTTGGTAAACTGAGTGTCTGAGCTAAAGGAAATTCATTCGTTGTTTTTTTGGAACAGGGTCTCACTGTGTAGTCCTCGTTTATCGGCCTTCTTCCCTCAGCGTGAGTGCTGGGATGACAGGCGTGTGCCACCACGCTGGGCTTGTGTCCATCGATATTGCTGTAGTCTGTGAGTTTTCACAGGGAAATGGAAGTCGTCAATCTCAGTGAGCTAATCAGACCACTTTTGTTTTTTTTTTTTGTTTTTTAATTTTATTTATTTATTT